ACTCTTTCTTGGCAGATAGTTTGCTGTATTAAACTTAAGAAAATACCATGCAGCATAGAGCTTAAAGCAGGGAATCTTCCCTGATCTTAGTTTCCGTTCAAACCAGTACCCATGTATCTAATGTATTTTACAAAGAATTGGTTTGGTATTGCTCACTTTGATTCTTAGGGGTTGTTTCACTTACTGTTTAAGTTTTTCCAAACACTAATTCTTTATCTTTTATGCAAGACCACTTTCTCCTTCCTCCCCTCCCCCAGAAGGGAGATAAATCTCTTGGCAATTCAGCTTGACATTTGTATTGCTTCTACCAGTAAATACTGACATTTTAAATGCTTCTGTTGTCTTTCCAGAATATTTTTAGTTCACTGACACCATGTTTTCTTGCTTCTGTAGCTACTATTGAAAATTCTTTAGAAAAACATAGACAAGTAAGCAGATTCCTAAAATCATATTTGAAGTACTTTATTCCTGGCAATTTGTCCTATCACAGTGTAAATAAATGAATATGACTAGTTATTTATGGTACCTTTCTGTCTTAAGGTGCTAACTCCTCAAAAATTAGAACTGTTAAAAGCACAAATAGAGCAGGAATTGGAATCTCCTATGACAGAACGTTATCGGAAGCTGGAAAATGTAAGTAGTATTTAAATTCTGTTTCATTTAGAGTAGTGATCACCAGTTTATAGTTGTCCCTAAAACCGTAGGAAATTAAAACTGAAAGGGGAGCAAAGTATGACATTCTTTGTCTGGTACTGTTGCCCCAGGCAGTGAAGGTTGAAACCCTAGAAGAAGGAGAAGGAGGGATTCAGTTCGTCAAATATAACTTGTGAAATGATAGGAACATTTCATGGACATTTGAAGGAAATAAATCTGAAAACTTCTGTGACTGATGTTTTTGGGTTTTTTTTGTCTAACTTAGGAAGTGGAAAAATACAGAACAGAATATAACAAACTTCGTTATGAACATACTTTTCTGAAATCAGAATTTGAACATCAAAAAGAAGAGCATGCACGTATTTTGGAAGAGAAGAAAATAAAATACGAGGCTGAGGTATATAGAATGTTACAGTAGCTTAAAATGTTTCTGATGACAAAGCTGCTTGAACACTGTGAAAACGTTGATACTTGATGGGTTGTCGGTTTGACACCATTTCATAAGGTAGTGTTTGTTTCCATTCTCTTAATTCTCAAAACACTTTTATGACTTAGCGTAAAGCTGTTTCTGTAGGTTTTTTCAGTGATGTGTTGCAAAATCATTTGTGCTATTATAAGTAAGAATAGACTTGCCTTCTGATAAGTGACAACTAGTAGCTTTGCTTAATTCTTTTTTTAATTGCATTTGTGATAGAATTTGAGATGTTATGCTAATCTGAAATTAATAAGTTATCTGAGCAACTGGCCTAAGTTTAGATTTGAAATTACTTATGTGGCAACTAATCCAAGAAGAAAGCAGCAGAAGATATTGTTAATACCAGGCAAGGGTGCATTTTGCAACTAAGTTGAATCATGATAGTGGTGGTCAAAAGGATACTGAAAACTTTGGTAACTATTTCAGTTGTATTAACACTTGAATAAACCATTCATGAAGTTTCTGTTTCAGAACTGGACTTTCAAAAGTGTAGCTAAATAAATTGCCAGCTTATTTATGTTTTACATATATGCAGCAGTGTAAATGAGTGTTGCATTTGTCACTTGCATATTCATTTAAATATTTGTCTGGGAGTATATCCTAAGATGCCAGATTTGAATGTATTAGTCCAAACATGAGACACAAACCAAAGCAATAGTCACTTTCAAAATCAATCCAAATTTGCAAATGCAGTGCATTACAAACAGAACAGTTGTCCTTCCCGGAGCTAAACCCACATGCTGCTTTACAGCCTGTCTCTCTTGTGGGCTTGTTGAGTTTGTGCTAGTCCTGCAGCTAATTAGCACACTTACAGAGAATGAAACTACCTTGAGCCCAAGGCACAATGTGATCTAGTTTCTCCCTTTTAGAGCCTTTTTAACCTTCCATGCCATTTAGCGCAAGAAGGCTACAAAAACATACTAATTCTTAAACGATGGCTTGGTCATGTCATGCAGTAAGTGTTTGAATCCCCTAATAAAAGGGATTTGGAGGGCTTTTGCTGCAGAAATTGGCATTGCTCCATAGAGATCACTGATGCAACTTTGAAAAGCACTGCTGCAGATCAGAGTTTGGACTAGTCACCAAATATCAAAAGAACTCTTAGCGTACGTTACTTTCTCACTCTTTTACCCCCAATTTTACATTCAGTAACTCATTTTGAAACACTAGAATCTATATATTTATAATATGTTAGTTACAGCCTCAAGATTAGTTTGTACCTATTGTACTACCTTGTAACAGAAAGAAAACCTTTTTCCTTAGTTTTCTGTCTGACAGGGACCAATTATGTTGGCTGTCTTGAGTTACTAGCAGATTTGAGTTCTGTTGTGGTTATAGAATTGTGGAATCATAATATAAGTTGGAAGAGATCTTCTTCTAGTCCAACATCTTGCTTAAAATATTGAAGTGTAATGAGATCAGGTTGCTCAGGGCCATGTCCCGTTGAGTCTTGACCATCTGAGAGGATGGAGATTCCACAACCTTTCTGGGAAAACTGTTCCAATATTTAACCATCTTCATGGTAAACATTTTTCCTAATATCTAACTGGAATTCCACATGTTCCAAGTTGTGTCTGTTGCCTCTTTTCCCATCACCATGCATCTCCTTCTCTTCTCCAAGCTGAAGAGGCATAGTTCTCTCAGCCTGTCTTTATATGTCATGTTCCCAGCCTCCTGACCATCTTGATGGCCATCCACTGGACTTGCTCCAGACTGTCATTATTCTTCATGTACTGGACACAAACTCCAGGTGCAGTCTTACAAGTATTGGAAGGGGACAAAGGATCACTTCCCTGGATCTGCTAGCTATCTTTTTGCCAATCTACAATGCAGTTGTTCATCTTTGCTGCAAGGGTACTCTGACTAATGTTCAGCTTGTTGTCCAGTAGGACCCCCAGATCCTTTTCTGTGGAGCTACTTCCTAGACAGTTTCCCCCAGCCTGTCCTGTTGCATTGTGTTACTCCATCCCAGACGCATTATTTGTACTTGCTCTTGTTGAAGAGGTTCCAGTCAGCCCATTCCTTCAGCCCGTCCAGATCCCTCTGAATAGCAGTTCTGCTTTCCAAAAGCACATTGAGCATTTCCGCCCAATTTGATGTCACCTGAAAGCTTGCTGGAAGTGTAACTCCATCCCATCATCCAGGCCACTAACAAGGACATCAATCAGTATTGGGCCCTATGGCTTTTAAGAGGTTTTGCTTCATAACCTTCTCACAGACTGATGTGAAGTTGACTGTCCTGTTATCTGGATCCTTCTTCTTGACCTTTTTGCTCTGCTTGATGATGGGTATGCTGTCTGCCTCTTTCCAGTCATCAGGAACCTTCTTGGATTGCCATGACTTTTCAAAGATGATAGAGAATAGCCTTGTGATTATACCAGTGAGCTCCTTCAAAATGCCTGGATCCATTCCAAGGACTTGTGTGTGTCCAGTGGATTAAATGATCCCTAACATTTTCTTCATCTATGCTGGAAGACCCACAGACTGCTGGGGGCTCAGGGACATCTGAGGCTCGAGGACAAGCCTTATCAGTGAAAACTGAATTAAAGGCGGCATTGAAGAATGGGTCTTGTTGATTTTCGTACTCTAAGAAAGAAAAATAAATGTGAATGTAATTTCTTAGTATTTTAAATGCACGCTGCTACTCTTTTCTTTTTCTTGTCAACTGCTGAATTTGTTGCTACCTGACACCTAACCAGTGTAAAAGCTTTGATTTTTCTGATTAACAACTATCAGATTGCAAGGCTGGATAAAGATAAAGAAGAACTCCATAATCAGCTGCTTAGTATTGATCCCACGAAGGACAGTAAACGTGTGGAGGCACTCTCTAGAGAAAAGGCACAACTGTATCAGAAATTAAAAGGCTTAGAAGCAGAAGTAGCAGAACTACGAGCAGAAAGAGACAATTGTGGTGTGCAAGCAGAAAATGTTCAAAGAGTACAAGTACGACAATTAGCTGAGATGCAGGCTCTGACAAGGTCTCTAGAGGTAAGAAATTTTTTTTTTTAATTTGCTTCTTTGTAGAGTGTAGTGAGAATAATGCTTGGCCTGATAGAACTGTCACTGAAGTCACTGATAATTTTGCCATTGACTCCACAATTTGTACATTTCAGATTTAAAATCAAATTGTAAGTACATTGTAAGTCATGTACTGCTAATTCAACTTTGTAAAGGTGGAGAGCTCTACGGAAAGATTCTGTTGAATGATCCGCTTTCTAAACATGCAAGTGATATCCATGTTTGCAGTCAGTAAGATGGCCATGTCAGCACTTGTCACTTGGCTGGAGTTAGAACTGATGACAATATGTTAATAATCTGCTACAGTAATTTTTTTACTATTTTCAAAAATGTCATATGGTGCTCCCCCATTTCTTTAATCCTTTCTTCATGAGTTGTCTTCTTTCTTGCCTACCTTTGTCTCTCCTTTCTTCAAGACATTATTGCAATTGTTTAGTTTTTGGCCGTTGCTTTCCCTTAAAGAGCCTTTGGTATTTCTGGCCTGTTGTATGTTTCCCAGGGTTCCACTGTATTCCTCATCTGTGGTCTTCAGTCCTCCTGTCAGCTCTTGGTATCTCTCTAGGTAGTGAGTCTTTCTGTGTAGATTTCTCACACAGTTGCAGCATACAGATGGTTAATTTTCCTTTTTCTTGTTATCAGTGCTGTATACCTTTGTTACAAAATGCCCTGATCACAACTTAAAAAGAAAAGTGCTCTAATACTCTTAATTTAGAAAGCTTAAAAAAAAAAGCCCTGCTGGAAATAGGTCTGTTTGGAAAAAGGAAGGTGAAATCGTAGGTTCGATTACCTTTTCGATACTTAGTAAAGGTCAGGGTCTTGAGTCTCTAATACAGTAATTGCATTTTACTTCCTCTCCATGATGTTAATTATTCAGTTAGTATAACTGCATAGGCAAAGATGTGATATCTCTTTGAGCACCACTTAGTCATGCTGGTGTTTACAGCCCAGTAATTTACTGGTAGGAATACCTGCTGAATCCTAACCAAGTCAGATTACCTCTGCCTCTTGTAAAGTAGGATTGAAAATGTGTGTGATTCTGTGCAGGCAGTGTTAGTAAAAACGGTTGTGACTTTTGAGTAAAAATCAAGGCCCTTGTTGTATTGGAACATATTGTTGAAGCAAAGATAAATATTTATCTATTATATTCTTATATAATGGGTCAGTAATATCTGAAAACCCAGATCAATAGAACCTTTCAAGTGAATAGCAAGAGACAGCCCTGCTCTAAAAATCTTACAAATACCTCCTTTATTCAAGGCAGAAAAGAAGTCTGCTGAACTACAGATTGATCGAATTGAGAAAGAACTGCGGATGAGTCATGAGCAAAACATTCTCTTAACTAGCAAGCTTCACAAATCTGAACGAGAAGTCAATTCATTAGCTGCTAAAGTAAGTGCTTTTATGGTATTTGAAGTACATTTCTCATACTCTGTTATGTTTTAAGTTTTTCTGTTTATATTTTACATTAAGAATAAAGTAACAATGTCTTCTGCTGTGACTTAAAATAGATTTGGAATTTTTTTCCCAAGTCTGGTTGGAAGATATAGAATATGTGACTTCACAGGAAAAACATAATTCCTAAAATATCTCTAAAGATTGAGGTTATGCTCTTTTTATTTCATATTCTAGATCTTTTTCTGTGAACAGAACAGGGCTCTGTTTAGAAAAGCCATGGAGCTATGGCTTCTGGAGGTCTGAAAAAGTATCCTCTGAATAGGCTGTGTTAGCAACAGGAAGCAAGCTGTGCTGAATCACCTGCGGAGATTTAGGTTATATCAGAAGCAGGGTAGTCACATTAGCATAGCGTTCTTCTTGGGCTAATGCCAGCATAGCTTGTACAGAAACATTTCTGTACAGCACTGCATCGTATCATTTTAAGTAAGATCATTGTCTTGCAACATAAGTTTGAGTATCTTAGTTGTTGGCTTGGCACCAGATCGTAGGGATTTTGTTCTATATTTGTATGCTATGTTCTACGTTTGTTTTGTTTGGGGTTTTTTTTGTTGTGTTTGGTTTTTTTTTTTAGATCTTAGAGAAATTTCTAGAAAAATTTCTCAAGAAAAAAAAAGATCAGAAGGCTTCAAGTTTAGGGAAAACCTGAAAGTGCTTAAGAAACTTGACATCACTGTTCAGTATTTCAGCATAGTTACGTTAATACAGATGCCAGATTCAGAGTTTTATCTTGTTGCAGTGACTTCTCAGCTACACAACTTAAGACAGATCCTTTTTGCAGTGTCATATGTGATTATTTGAATAAACAAGAAAAATAAAAACACTACTAAACCATTTTACCTTCAAATGTTGCAGAATACTTGCATTGCTTTATGTAAATTTGAGTCAGGATACTAGTCCTAATGAAATAGTTACTTGGGTAAATATTAGCTTCCTGCTATCTCTTATTGCCTCCTTTCTGGAGAGAATACTGGGGAATAAATTTTCATCACAGCTGTCAGTTCCTGGTAGCAAATTTAATCCCCTGTGTTTTCCTACTTTTCTGGCTTTAGTTAGTTCCGAACGAACTGTAAAGCCAGTAACTTTGGTCTTGTATATCTAGCTGAATGCAGCATTATTTTAAGCTCTCTGTTGACTTGGAGCTGGCCTGCATTTCTGAATATACTTTCCAAAATAACACTGATGTACGCTTTGTGTGGGTATGGCAGTTAATACTGTTGTAATATGCCTCAAGAAAGATACAATATAGGAAGAAAATTTTAACTTCTACCATAGTCGTTCTTTAATTTTATAGCGCACACTTATGACAATGAAGTATTTCATTTTGGTCCTTAATCCAAAAAAGTTACAGTGTGCCATACTTGTCTCACATGAATAATAAATAGGAGGGGAAAACTTCTGTTGAACATTAATTGTCTATCAGAGTATATAGAAGATTGTTGCAGTCTTCACTTTTTGTATCAAGTGCTGTTCTCTGCTCACCTCCAGAAGTAGGAGAAAATCAAAATGTTCAGTGGCATTTCTTGAAGGGAGGAAAGTAGAAACTAATTTCTATACTAAACTCCACCCCCTTCTGCACCCACTCAAACTTACTCCTGAGCACAGGTGCACGCATTTGTCTTCTGGATTTTGTGCCTTAAAAAAGCCACCTTAAATCTTTGCTAGTTGCCCTGAAATGTTCTCAACTTAGTATTTAAGCAACCAAATCCACCATGTAGTTACTTAATAAGCTGCTATGTCATTCTTAACCTTTTGCCACTTGCATATGCTAGCAGGTTGTAATTACATTTGTCATTGTGAATGGATTTTCATTATAAGTGCTTTCCTCTAGATATTTAATTCTCATTGACCGTGTAATTACTGCGTACAAATGCCTAAACTCTAGAAAGTTTCCATGCAAGCAGTAATTGTCTTTGATTTGATGTTCTTAAAGCTCCTGCTTTTATGAGGCCATTTGATGTGTATGTCACAGTTGTAGAGAAGTATTTGATTTAAAATGCACTTTAAAACTATGAAGACCTGGATTTTGAGAAAATAGTGTAGCACTCCAGGAGGTTGGGGAACTATAAGTAGTCACCAAATTGAAGTTACTGGGGGGAGCAATTGATAATCTGTTTTTGCATATCATTGTTTTGTTTTACTTAGGGAGATAAATTTAACTTTATTTTAGCTTGACTCTGGGGATCTTTAGTCAGAAGTGAAGTGCGTGTGAAGTGCCATGCTAATGCTTGAGTTAGCGAGGCATCAGGGTCTTAGGCAATTTGGATGAGTGTCATAGCAAGGTATTTCCAATGAGTAGTCTTTTCAGAAATACCTCAATATTCGTAAGCTAGCTTGTAGAATGTATAGTATTTACGCAGAAACCAAGTTTTCACAGGCAGTCCTGTGCATCTGTACAAATATCACCAAGGCTTCTTAAAAGAGTAACTTTTCTACACTGTAGCTTGTAATAACTGGCTGGTTAAAGATGAAATACATGCCGATAGTCAGACAGCCTGGTTCCCTGGTTCCTGGAATACATGTTGTATTTGAGAGCTTTAATTTTTTTTAAATCAGGGAATATATAAAACTTGCATTTCAAGATGACTGACAACTCATTCAATAATCTTCAGTGTGTGACTTGAAGAATTAATAAAATCCTGTAATAGCACTGACTATGATTTGGGGAATCAGATCATATTAATAGTTTTAGTGTTACAGTATCTTTATAATCATCATTAAAAATTACCTACAAGAGTGCATATTCTGGATTGGCTTTCAGGAGAGCAGTGGATTAAAAAAATATTTAAGGTATGCTTAAAATAAGCATAGTCCATGATTATTTGGCAGATTTTCTTGTCAGCAAAGTATCACATGAAAAACTTTCACTAAAGCTGTGAATATATATATTTAGTTGATTTTTTTTTTTCTTTCTAATTCATAGGTAGAAGAACTTAAACATTCACATAAACTGGAAGTAACAAATGTCAAACTGGAGGCAGCAAGAACAAAGAGTGAGGTAGAAAGAGAGAGAAACAAGATTCAAAGTGAAATGGATGGTAAAATATGCAATTAATTTCTAATGATCTCTTTTGTAACTTCTGGTTAGAATACTACAATTATTTTTCCTCAAACATTCCCCAGCAGCCTTCACCTTCTACTTCTGGTCTAGGTCACAGATCTGAAAATTCACTTTTGTATCTGAAATAACTGTGTTGTTTCACTTGGTCTACTATGTTAAGAAGAAGAGCTACAGAATGATTTTGCATTTATGTAAATTAGTGCATTTGTGACATAAATTGAGCATAATCTGTTTTAAATCATGTACTTCATAGGGTTATTTTTTTCTGTTATTGCCAAATTCTAGAGTCTTTTACACTGTGCTTGAAACCTTAACATACCATTGGGCTTCAGGAGTGGTTTTCTGATCCTGTGTCTATGGAATTGTGAAGAGTTGGATAAAGCTGCCGTGTGAAACAAAATACAATTTCTAGCTTGTTCTTTGAAGAAAATAGGTGATGGTCTAAGCTACCCAATGCAGCTGAGCCCATAGGCAACCTGAAATAGCCTTCTTGAGTAAAAAGGCCAAAGCTTTCTAATACTAGTTATGTGCTGATGATTTAAGTCACTACATAGCTTTTAAGTGGATTGTTCTCACCAATTTGCCATAACCCCAGAATAGTACCTTCATCTTCCTGGAACAGTTGTTTCTGTTCATTTGCATTAATATTAAGTTCTCTGAAAACAACTAAAAAGTGGTGTTTTCTCTATCAACAACACACTTATACTGAGAAACTAAGACTGTTGAATCCTGTGAAATATGAAGCTGATACAGACGAGATTTAAGCTAACCTGAACTTGCTGTGGAATCCCGTTTGCATCACTGAATTAGCTAAATAACTGGGAGTCTTTGTTGTAGCTTATTTGTGGCTTATTTGCCAGTGAACATAGGTGTCTTGGTCACAAGCTTTTAATTTGCATCTTCTGTTGCTGTGTATAGAGTCATAATTTTAGAATTGCCTCATTTGGTAATATGAGTGGATTAAAGTGGGAGATTTGTTGTAGCCAGGTTACTATGGTTTCACTAGTAACCAGTTACTGTTTACCATAAACTTTTCCAGAAAAATAAGAAATTTTCTTACTTGGCCTTTTCCTATCTATTATGGGACCCTTTTTTTTTTTTTTTTAAAAATTGAGACAGAACTGCTTAGCAGAAATTGTTTTAGAGTTTAAATCTATAATAATATCAACAGTTTAATTACTTTTGTATGTAAAAATAATAGACCCCTGTAGACAGAGATTCCAGGGTAATGGTTACTCTTCAAAAGTTTTTGAAATGTTGCTGTTAAGTGTGTGTGTATATATATACACACACACTTTCTCAGTAAAAAAAGGCCATATCTCTTCTGTTTTTCATGGGGTTTTTTTCTCATTCATTCTATCATGTGAATTGTGATTTTTAGCTCCCTTTTATCAATTTATAAAGTTATTTTAATACTGGATTTCATCAGGTTGATATCAATAATGACGTTTTAACTTTTTTTAATGTATAATACAGGATTGCTGTCAGACAAGGAAATTCTTAAGGCAGCTGTTGAACGTCATAAGGTGCTTTTAGTAGAAAAGGATCGGGAGCTAATTCGTAAAGTGCAAGCTGCCAAAGAGGAAGTTTTTGAAAAAATTGCAGCCTTACAGGATGAAAAGTATGTTTGTTGATTTACTGCTCAACTTTTAAAAGAGGAGTGTTTTGAGTAACTTTGTAAAATGTCATGCTTAGCAGCTAAACACTTCTGGCATTTTGTCATGATTCTTGTGTACGTGTTGAATAATGTCTCAGGTTAGAGCTCGAGAACAGATTAGCTGATCTAGAGAAGATGAAACTGGAACAAGATACTTGGAGACAATCTGAAAAGGTTCAGTATGAAGAAAAGCTACGTGTTGTACAGATGGCAGAAGAATCTAGCAAAAAGGAACTTCAGCGTTTGCGGTAGTGTGGCTTTTCTAATCTTAACACAAATTTCTCATTTTTTCCCCCCTAATTTCTTTACAGTAGTCAGTATAAAAGTTTACTATTCATAGGTACACGAATGTTCATTATGGTAAATTAAACAAAATTATCTTTTGCATTGTGCAAAAAGAGGGCAGAATTAAAAATGGACTGTTTAAAAAAAAATAAAATTTTTCATCAAAACCTTTAAAAATTTTATAATTTTAATGAACATTTTAAAGACATAACTTTGCAATACTCGTGTTTGTTAAAACTGGGTCCATGTTGGCTGCTGGCATAGCCCCAGTGCTAGAGTAAACCATTTCTCTTTCCACAAGGGCACCATGTCAGCAACTGGCAAACTGGGACCCTAAAATGTATCTCTCTGAGTTGGGTATTATAGTTCTCAGTGAAGTTGTTTTACTATAGTATTTGTATGAAGTTCAGTACAATAAAATGAGCAAACATCATACCCCAAGGGCAAACAAACATATTTCTTACTCCTTAGATGAATTCTAATAAACAATTAAAAAATATTTTTAATCATTGTTTAGTTAAATATTTATTAGCCTTTCCGATTATGCAATAGATTCTATTGTCCTAACTTCAAACATCTCTAGTTTAATTAAATAGAAGTAAGGATGTCTTATACAATTTTAGATTAAAAATTCAACAGCAAGCTATTCAGACAGAGGAGTTGGAAGAAAAGAAACGTGAAAGTGCTGATCTGAAACAGGTGAGGTTTTATTGCATTGTAATATTTTATAGAGAAATACAATCTTTCCTGCAGTTACCATGTTCAGTGTTTGAAGATTAGATTGAATTTTTAAGGCTTTTTTTTTTCCTGAGGGACGAAATGCATACAACAGATACTTAAAAGCAAAAGCGTTCAGAAATCAGTCATGCTTTCCTGGACCTTTATAGATGGATTACAGCTTTTTGCTTCATGCATTTTGTGGCTACCAAGGATTTCAAAGCTGAATGTTCATAGACTGGTATATTGAGTATGGTTATGCACTATTTAACTGGAGATTCAGTTTCCATGGAGACTTATAAATTGTTTCTAGGTAATGCTTTGCATTTACGCTGCATATCTCATCTGAGGTTCTTCAAGTGCTTAACAGATGTTTCATAAATGAATAAACTAGTGTAAAGAGGTATATTTCTATTGCAGAGTGAATTGATGGCAGTGTTGAAAATAAAACCTAATTCTTTTAACTCTTGCTCGCCCATGATGTTACATTTAGTAGGTAAGAACATAGCTGTGCATCAAAGTAATCTGCAAGATGTGTGTGCTTGAAGTTCGAGGCAACATTTTTCCTCCAGGAATCAGAAACTGGGGTGTATCTTGAGTGTGCATGTGGGGAGAGGAAAAGGAAAGGGAAATCATCCTTTCTATGTGCTGGCTTGCAGAGGTTGACTGTTCAGACTCTGTACTTACTTGTTTTTGTGAACTGGTGGGTAAGCCACTGCGGGCTGTAATGCATTGTGCATTATGAGAGAGTCTGGGTAGCTCCACAGCTCAGGTACTAAATGTTGCGTGCTGCGCTAATTCTCTTCAGCCCTGGGGCTTGATGTTGGATTTCTTAAGTTCTGGGGGACACATCAGTGACTGAAGACTCCTGCCTCCCTTTCTCTTTCTCATTTTAATTACAGTAGAAAACCTTCCTGTCTAGTAGTGATGTGCTGTTAAGGTTCTGGAGATGCTGTTGAGTAAGGAGAAAAGGAACAAATAAGAAAGGCTTGCAAGAAGCTAATGCAGCCAGTTGGTGCCTGCATTCTTCTCTCAGTATCTCAAAATTAATTTAGTTATTTGTATACCTTCTCAAATGGAAAAATTTCGTTTCTTTGTAGCAAATGCATGACATACAACTCCAACTTGCCTCAGTTTCTCAATCAGAAAATGATTTACTGGAGTCTAATCAGAAGCTGAAGGAAATAATAGAAAGATTGAAACAAGAATGTCAACATGCAAGGACTCAGGCAGAAAAAGCTCAACTGGAAACAGAGAAGTAATTTTTTTTTCTTCTTTTTGGGTATACTTTTCATATTGCTTGTATTTTTATGTGGATTACTTACTATGGATTGTAGATTCTGAATGAAGTTTGAAATTAAAAATTGGACAGGAAATACTGTATAACTGTAAAAAAATATGGCTATACTTTCTGTTGTGCGGTAAGTTTAAAAGCTTTGCTTGTGGTAACATCAAAAATAGGAGTTTTTCTCCATTCATGTTTGTTACAATTAATTCTTGACAGATGAACTACTCCTTTTTTATAAAATGAGATCCTATTTATATTGAAGTGAATGTCAAACTTGTATTAGTGTAAGTGGATCCCAGTTTCACACACAATTCTTTTAAGAGTGTTTAAGCATTAAGGGTGGAAAAAAAGTGTTTAAGCATTGTATTATGCTTTCATAAGGTTTCAGGGGCCCGGTCTGTTTATGTGTGTGTATATACTTCTTTTTCCCCTCCCACTAGATCCTTTTAGATGATATGAGGCAAATAAAAGCTTATTGTGTACTTTCTAGTTGCTCTCATCAAAATTAAAAGTAGTCACTTTTCTTTTTTGCACAAGCTTGACCACATACAATCAAAATATACTAATAAATGCTGAAAGAAACCAAATCTTGTTCAGAGCCCACATAGTAAGGAACACTTTCCTGGAATTTAAAGATTAATTTGTCAGTGTGAAATGGCTATCTAGTATTTTGTAGACTAATAACCAAATACGTGTCTTAATTTGTACTAGATTATTGTGTGGTGGGTTTTTTTAAAAAGTCAGGGTTTTAGATTAAATAGAAGACTTCAAAAAGAGGTATAATGTGGCATTTTTTTGTTTTAACTTCTCTTTTGCTACAAGTTGATACTGCAATTCCTGCTTTGTCATTAGTTTAAGTATTGCTTTTCATTTTAACATTTGAAGTAATTTTTAATTAGAATACATAATTATATAATTTATATA